TTATATATATATATATATATATACATATATATAATATAATAAATTTTTTTACATTTTTTAATTTATTTTATTTTAAAGTCAATAAATGTTCCCATTCAAGAAATGATAAACGTTGGAAACAAGTTTATCAGATAATTTATGATTTCACTTTTATACTTTATACGATGTGATGATTCAGCTGTTTGAGTTTCGTTAAGACTTTCACTTTCGCCGTGTAGCCACGGGAAAACATGGCCCCCCGATGTAGTCATAACATTTTAACACAAGTCACTATAAATCCTACGCACCGTACAATAAATATTATTTCATCACTAGTTACTATTTCGTAGTCGTATTTCTAAAGCACCCATTCACCAGCAGTGAAATAGTAAATTTGAATTAAATACTTTTAGCTCGTAATTGTGTGTCTTTAATGAATTCAACTACTTCACCTACCGTGTCTTCTAGAAAATTTCCAATATACCGTACACACTCGAAATTGATTCCTGGAAACGGTGGCTCTTTTAGTTTCGTATTTTTCATATATCAAAATAAAATTAACATAATTATTATTTTTTTTTTAAATAAAAGGATCGTTTAAAACAAAAACAAAAAGAAACATACTCACATTTTATTTTATTTGTGAAATTGTGCTATCTTTTGTGTCATGTTGTGTGTTCGGTATGGCAGGGTTGACCTACTGACCCAATTTCACTAGACTTGGATCAAACACAGTCAAGCCGAAGCAATCTTGTTTTAATCCAGCCTATCTTCTCTTCAAGATACGCCGCCAGTAGCACACGCCCCCCCCCCCCAATCCCACTATTCATACACAGTCACGTGTGCTCCATACCTTTCAAGCACTGTGCCGTGTGTAAATCAAACACACTGTAGGTGTGTAGTTCAAACACTCTTCTTAAAACGTTCATGAAATAAAAGTCACAAAATGCCACATTAAGGTTGGACCTATCGGCTTGTCGACGACCACCTGTGACAAGTCAATGTCTTCTCTAAAAAATATATATACATATACATATATATACATATACATATATATATATACATATATATATATATACATACATATATACATACATATATATATATATATACATATACATA